GCTTTGTGTCAAAAGCCCTTCGGTGTTCAAAGAATATTATAAACTTCCCGAGGTACTTTTAGGATGTTAATTTCTTGCATTTATTTTCTGAAATCTGCATTTAGTGATAATTATTACCCTTGTACTATATCAATTATAGAAATGTAAATTTTGTATTTTATCAATGTAGGTAACAAAGGAATCATTTACAGATGATGGGTTTTTTAAGACCGGAGACGCAGTCATTACAGACGAAGATGGATATTTCATCATTTTAGGACGTAAGGAAATTTATATTTTTCTTGCATAGTTATGTAACGAAATTTGAAAACCATGCTTGAAGTGTTATCAGCAAATTGTCAAAAAATAGATTAAATTGCTAATAACTCGGAGACATGGTTTCTTCTAAATATTGTTACAATCATATTGGCAATAAATATGAATGTAATCAGTAGTTTCAATGTTGTTATTTTGATTCACTAAGCGAAAGGGAAAGGTTCATACATGTGATCTTTTATTCAGAGTAGTAGAAGTTAGATTGTGATGGAAGTAAAATCCATTGTGTACTTTCTAAACTTTTTATCAGGTAAGAACGCGGATATAATCAAGAACGGTGGCTATAAACTGTCTGCATTAGAAATTGAATCAGTAATAGTAGAGGCAAGTGGCTATCATTTTCTCATCCTATGGTTGTCGGCTGTTAACAATACCATACATTTATAATATCATATTCACGATCAAAACCTTTTTGCAGCATCCAACTGTCTTGGAATGTTGTGTTTTGGGAGTACCGGACAAAGACTACGGAGAAATTGTTTGTGCAATTATCGTGCTTGCTGCAAAGAGCAAAGAGTCAAAGCCTGCTCTAAGCCTAGCAGAGTTATCCACTTGGGCCAAAACTAAACTTGCACCTTACAAGGTATTGTTGCATGACCAATTTTGTATGTGTTATTTTATATATATATATATATATATATATATATATATATATATATATATATATATATATATATATATATATGTGGAGTGTGTCAAGTGAGAGCATGAGAAGCAAGATGATCATGCGGTCAAAATAGAATCTTACAACGCATTCACACACATGCATAGATTGCGGAGATAAATCCTTTGCTTTCTTATTCTTATAAATTGTATACAAGCTGCTATGGAATATGCTTGTGATACTGAATTATGTCCGTCGTGCTTTCTGTTCTTGTGAAATCTTTTGTCAAATAGCAGCTATAGCGGCGCTTTAACATTGCAGCGTATCTGAACTCGAACAAACTGCTATTTTTTTTGGTGCTATTTTGATATTTTGTCAATTGTCTCTTCTTGATGCATCAATGTAATCATCATTGTTATAACAGTTTCAAAAGTAAATTTCTTCTAATACTTTGTTTTTATATCTTTAGATACCGACTCGACTTATCGTGTGGGAGTCACTCCCTCGCAATGCAATGGGGAAGGTAAATTACTTTCCCTTCTACGCCGTCCTTATCAAACATCATTTTCTTTTCCATTTCGTCACAAAGTATTCTTTAGGAATGGAAGTTAATTATTCTCTGATTAAAATTTTAGGTAAATAAAAAAGAGCTGAAGAAGCTGGTGAGTTCAGAATAGTAATGATCATTTATTTACTGGCCAAAGTATATTTTTTGAGACCAGTTTTAAGATGGTGAAAATCTCAATTAATATTATAATAATTATTTAGATAAAAGAGAAGCCTTATTCTGGCCTTTCTCAAGTTCAATTAAGTTTAACCTTATCGGTAGGAAGGGAAAATATTTACAGTAAGTATGGCCTTTTTAAACTCATGAGGATGATTCAATGTAATTTTATCTATCTAGACCTATATATTTGGTGGAAATAGGAAAATGTATTGTATGTTTTCCATTAAAAGGAGTATTTAAAGAGTTAAACTATGATTTATTTCTCCTTGTAAACATAATATTTAATTAATTATATAGTGTATATAAATATCATGGTTGTTGAATGTTTTACTCACTCAAGCACATTTAAAAAAAATTTACTTATTTTTTACATGGAGCCTATGATATAGAGGACTCTACTTCCGCAAATATTTTTTGAGAAAATCTTACTCGGCATTTTCAGTTGTTAATAAACTCAAATCTTGTTTCCAACATTTTCTGAGTTGATTTCTTCATCGAATCTTGTTTTTCTTTTAGTATCTTATACATAAATATTTGGTAGTTGCTTATGTTTTCTTTATGACTAACATTATGGAAAAATCATTAGACAATTGCAGTGTGGCGTATTCTGGTAAGCTTATATTCTCATTTGGATTTCATGTGTCAAAAACGCCCTTTTTGCTTATTTTGGAAATTAGATTCAAGAGCCACATATCATATGACACATTCTTTGGAACAGTTCTCCACATATTCCCCTTGTCTCAGCAATAAAAAAAATTCTTTGAAACAGTTTTCCACATGACACATTCTTTGAAATAGTTCTCCACATATTCCCCTTGTCTCAGTAATAAAATAAATTCTATTGCAGATGGTATTATTGTAACTGTAGATGGCGTTGGAGATATCCAAATATATCATTCTACAACCTTAAAAAGGGTCCTTCATATTTCAAAACTATCCATGAACCTTGTCTCCATACAAAAATTACAAACGATTTATCGTGTAGTGAGACTTTTCATAATGATTGTTGTATAATTCAGGATAAGAAGTCGGAAAAGACGATTGGACGTGTTAGAGAAAGGAATTACCTTTGCTATCTTGAAGAACCAGGTCACGGTACAAAAGTTCACTTGTCCCGCTCATTTATATCGGAGTCAGTACTATCTAAAAAGGAAAAAAAATCTTTTTTCATTGTCGATTAGGCTATCCTCCTTTTGGAGTCATTAAAATTTTGTTTCCATCTTTATTCAATAAGGTAGATATTGAAAGTCTTCATTGTGATGTGTGCGAGTTTGCTAACCATAAGTGTTATCTTTTCCATTAAACAACAAAAAAAGTCATCCCCTTTCTACCTTATTCGTTCATATGTTTGGGGTCTCTCTACCAATCCAAATGTTACAGTGGGGCTAAGTGGTTTGTGACTTTTATAAATAATGATTGTAACCGAATTACTATGTTGTTTTTACTCCAAAACAAGTTTGAAGTCGGTACTATTTTACCAAAGTTTTTCTATATGATTAAAAATCAATTTGGAGTAAATATCAAAAGGCTTAGGTCAGATAATGGAAAAGAGTACTTCAATCACGTTCTTATTTCTTTCTGTCAAAAAGAGGGAATTGTCCATGAGTCTTCTTGTGTTAAAACACCACAACAAAATGGTATCGCAGAAAGAAAAAATGGGCATCTATTAGACCAAACCCGGGCACTATTGTTTCATCAAAAATGTTCCAAAATATTCACACAGAGAGGTCATTCTCACTAGCACATATCTTATTAATTGATTACCCTCTAGAGTATTAAGATTCAAGAGTCCTATTGATGTTCTTTCTTTGTTCTATCCAAATTTGTTAGCAAGTAGTAATCTTAAATCTCGAATCTTTGAGTGTGTCTCATTTGTCCATGTGCATAGTCAAGATTAAAAAAAAACTCGACCCTAGAGCCCTAAGATGTATTTTTGTCAATTATTCTTCTACTAAAAGGGATATAAGTGTTTTCATCCTCCATCTAATTTTTTTTTGTGTCGCAGGATGTTATCTTTCATGAGGAGGAACCATACTTCACTCAACCTTATCTTCAGGGAGAAATTTTAAGAAATATAAGCTTGAAAGTCTTAATATTTTTGATCTTGAGTCAAATACAATCAATCTATCTAGTATTAAATCAAATACATCAGGTCAATTTGGTCATGACTCAATTACACCAAATATTTTTGGTCCCATGTCAAATACACCTAATCCTTCTAGTTCGAGTCAAATAGAAATAATCTTTCTAGTCTCAAGTTAAACACAGATGTACATGACCTATTTGAGGCTGAAAAACTAGGAGCTAAGTGAAATCAATTAAATACATCAATAGCTGAACTTGGACCTAACATGGATGTAAGATATGGAAAGAATCTAGTTTACATGAGAAAGTCAAAGGTCATTACAGAATCGGCACAAGTTCAAGAGCGTGACTCGACTCCTTCAAATGAGGTAATTAATTTTTCTGAATACCAAGATAAAATGATGACCCAAACAACAAATGATGACCTAGACCTTCCCATTGCTATTAGAAAAAAAACTAGAAAATTCACCAAACAACATTTATATCCCCTTTCAAACTATCTTTGTTTTAAAAAAAATTCACCTACCCATAAAGCCATCCTTATAAACCTAAACACTACATCCATACTTACCAATGTTTCTGAGACATTGGCCGATGAAAAATGGAAGCAAGTCATGCATATTGAGAAGGACGAATTGAAAAAGAATGGAACTTGGGAGTTATAGATCAATTGAAACATATAAAGCCAAGTCGGTTGCTAAAGGGTTTACACAAACCTATGAAATTGATTATTCAGAGACATTTGTCTCGGTTGTGAAAATGAATACAATCAGAGTAGTTTTGTCACTCGCTGTCTATTATGGGAGGAATTTACAAAAATTTGATGTGAAAAATGTCTTCTTATATGAGAAATTTGAGGAGGAGATTTATATGCAGGTACTACCGAGGTATGAAAATAATGTGTCTGACAATATTGTATTATGCAGATTAAAAAAAACGTTATATGACCTAAAACAATCATCTTAAGCATGGTATAGAAGATTTATTAAGATTATGACATCTTCAAGGTACAAATAAAGTCAAGGGTATCAGACCTTGTACATCAAATTTAGAACCAATAACATATTATTTGGAGGATCAAATTTCATGAGTGAAAAAGAATACATAGATGATCAATAATACAAATTATTTAATGGTCACATGTCAGAACTACTGTATTATTAAAATGAAAAAAAAAAAAAAAAAAAAAAGAGAGTAGAATTTAACCTCTGAGATTGATAAAGTGTAGTAGTCTAGGACACTTCACAGTTCACACTTGAATGTTCCATTTCAAATCCAGTTTTGAAATATGATCACTAATATCATTATAGTCAGCATATAAAGTTTCTTTGTGCAGTTTAGCATTTCACCTGACCCTGTCATACACAAAACTTATCTGATTCAATAATAAGCACATAGATTAAATAACATTTGCATAATTTAAATCAGAGACTCAAAACATGTACCAGTTCCTGAGGAGCTAGGGCCAGAATCCTGAGTTGCAGGTGGTGATTCAGTTTTTTCTGGCGAGTTGAACCCGAGATCTAAACCATTACAATCTCCTCCTATACCACCTACTCAAAAGCTCGTCATTATGAATCAAATTCAGTATTCTTAAACTGTTAAACACTCACAGGTAATTTTGAATAAGCAGCTTTAACTTACATTTTTTCAAGCAAATCATCTTAGGATCATTAAGAACATTGGCTGAACCTTCATTGCATTCACATTTAAAATCTGTGCCATCTCTTACACATTTTCCATCTCCACACAAATTTACCAAACAAGCTGTAAAATTAGCATAAGTATTTGGACATCAACACCACAGTTCAAACTTTGACTCTCACCGTTACGTGTATGAGTTTCTAGTGATTATAACCACTTCGTTTTTAGATAAAATAAAAGTTCTGATAGTGATGTGCTTACGGTCGGATGGATTTGGAAGTTGAGGTAACGGAATCGGCAGTTTTCCATTACCACATTGGAAATCAATAGTACCTGCATCTCATTCATAATCATTCAGAAAAAAATACAGATTATCCAAAAATCACTTATTTTGGTGAAAATAAAACAAAAAGCATGGTGAAAAATACAACATTCATAAAATAGAAATAAAACTAAGGTGGCAAAAACTATACATTTTCATCAAAATAATGACTTACAATTAGGAAGAACACAAGTGGGGAATTCAAAGGAACCTAGTGTGAATTTCTTCCAACCAGGGTCACAATCACATGAAAAATTTGGAAACACATTTTGTTGACATGTTCCTTTTCCACAATATACTATTTTGCATATGTCAAGAAGATCATCAAATCCATCTGCACAAATCAATACACACCACCATCAATACTTATACAAAAAATTGAAAATAACCAACAATATATTTTTTTTTAAATCAATTTTAAAAAACTCACCAACAAAACATTGAAAATGATCAACAATGTACAAGTTAAATGACCAACAAAAAAAATGAAAATAAATATTTTTTTTAAATCAAAATTTTAACTTTTTTTTATCAACAATTTAGTTTTTTTTCTTCATATTTCTTTTCATAATCTGAGTACCTTTGGACTCGAACGCAATAAATGATTAGTTCAATTAAATTAGATAAAATTTTAATGAGTAGAAAAAAATTTCTCAAAAATCTTAACGTTACACTTTTCAATTTATGTTCGAATACATATTATTTGATTGATTAAACATACCGAGCTTTGTGCTGGTCATTATTTGTGTTGAAGTAGCTGAGGAAGTGAAGAGAAAGAAGAGATAAAAGGATGCAAGATTGAAACTTTTCCATTTGAACATTCCCATTGTAACTTATGAATAATTGCTTAAAATGATGAAACAATTATAGGCTCATAATCCACATATATAGTCTACATTACTTTGAAACTCTTGAGTTTACCAATTTAATTTCCGTTTCAATTTTATTTATTAATTAAAATAGTATATAAGAAGTGATGAATCCTATGTAATGTTAAGATTTGATTAAGCTTAAGAAATGGTGAGTTGAGAGGGATGGGTTTAATGTCCTACACTAATTACAAAAATAATTTTGTACTTAAGTGAGATGGTACGTAGTTAATTATGCAAAATCACAACCAAATTTTTGGCTCTACACATGAATATTTTTCTATATTTTCATTATTTGTTATGCTAAAGTGTCTTCACAAATTATGGCAGAAAATTGACGATAGAAATTATAGAAACGTGTCGATAATAGTTATAACATAGTAAAAAAATTAGTGGGACGTCCATCGTGTCACGTGTATTTGTTTAAAATATTATTCTTATTAAATAGAAAAGTTTGTAATTAACAAAAATTTGTAAGTAATTAAAAAGATGTAGAAAATATTGTAAGAATATTATTATAATAAATAAAAAATTGAAAATTAATTAGAAAAATTTATAATTAATTAAAGAGATGTTAATTAAGAAAATAAATATGCTAAAAAATATGTGAAACTAATTGAATCGTGTTGAAAAAAATATACAATAAATAAATATATATAAAAGGAAATATAATATATATAATAACTAAATGAAAATATATTTAATGTATAAAAATGTGTTTAGAATGAAATATAGTGTACAGTTAGTAAATGAAAACATAGACATATAATATTAAATGTAAGTGTTTTTTCCTAGTGTACTAAATTTAATTTTTGAATAATTTCTGTATATATTATTGACGTACAGTCCTGATAATAAATGTTAGGCATGTTGATAAAGAAATATACAACAAACAAAATGTCAAGCTAAACAGTCTAAAAGTAAAATGTATAATAATCAACCGAAGTTGGTGTGTGTTTAGAAACATAAAAGGAACATCATATATTTTTGAGACAGATGAGGCTTAACAGTAACTCCGAAATATATCAAACAGTGAGGTTACAAATTCATATATTACACACTCTAAAGCAAGAACAACACAATGCAGACTAACAAAAGAGCAGGACTGTACATCAGGATAATTCCACAATCTATCTATTATGTGTGTATATTGAAGTTATAGAGTTAAATTGTAGCATAAAAATTACTTATTGATGAAGAGGAATAATATGACACGATGGACACGTCGACACTGCTAATGTCAAAAACATAAGTCACAGACACCAATATATAAATATTTATTTATACATCATACTTAAATAACATATGAAAATTATGTATAAAAGATTCAAATTGATAATCAAAATATATGAGTGCATATCTAAATTGAGCTCAAAAATTATAGAACTATATGATAGTTTTTCACTTCCATTCATTTCTCAATTGCCGAAAAGCTGAAAGTGATATAAATTTATGTCATTAACCCTCTCATAGATCATCATTGCTTCGACGTGCCTTCGTTTCGATTCAATGGACAGACACGATTTGGTACCCCTTATGGAGTTCAAGTATGGCGGTGTAAAAGGATTAATGCTAGACTCTTCGTGGCTGGTTAATTGGTTTGGGAATTTTGTGTCCTACAAGCTAGGTGATGACTCTTGTATTGATACGTGGAGGAATATTTGGCTTGGTGGTGAATATCTTATGCTATAATTTCCCACTGTTTTTTTCTGTTTGCATGTGTCTAGAATCAAAATTAGTGATTTTGGATGTGTATAACTATAAATGGCATTTGACAGTGGTCTCTCTCTTCATCTCAAACTCTGTTATCGGTTACTGCAGAATCAGATAGGAATGAGCTCTACAACATCTTATCTTCATTATCTCCCTCAGCCTCTGTCAAAGACAAGTTTGCTTATGTTCGTTTTGTTTCCGGTCAGCTCTACTATTGACTTGTGTAAGCTTCTCAAGGATAAGTTGCAAACTGATGAATTGGCTATGAAAGTTCTCTTTGATAAGGTTAGCTCCGATTCACTTTTTTATGCAAACTTTATCGACTTTCAATTCAATGTTTATAAGAAGCATGGCTATTGTTGACTTATTTTGACAATTTGATGTGCATGATTGTAGGTATTTTCTCTAATTAAAGAGTCGGAGTTGAAATATTTGCAAACTGCGATGTAGTTGATTTCAGAAATGAAGGATAAGCTTCGCCTTGTGCCTTCACAAAAATGTTATGATTCTCTGCTTGCTTGGTGCAAAGTCAATGATAATTCTCACAATGCTGACTGAGGCTCCTTAATAAGATTGTATATGTAGTGTTCATTTCTGTCTCTCTGTTGCATTAGTCGGTTTAGGAGAAGTTTGATATACAACATAAAAAGAGTTAGAAGTTGTTCATTGGAATTTATATGGACATACTCCAATTTTAAAGTTTGTAACCGACAATATTAACTGTATAGCAGTTTATATACTCCCTGCACTAAAAAGGTCGTGCTTTAGGATAAATATGGAGAAATATGTGTATAACACCCACAAATAATTGAGTTTTTTTTTTAAGAAAATAGTTAAACACAATCAAGACAATTATTTCTATTGTAACAACACCTAATGAAGACGATTGTAACATTATAGATAGTAGGTTTATCGCTCGGTGGAATATGGATATAGGCTCGTCAACAGTAAGTCAGTTAAAGTCAAAGTACAAATAAAGTGATGTCATTGAAAAAATTATGATGAGAAAATGTGAAAAACATGTTTATTTGAATAGGTAAATCAAGATTTACTGGTTATAAATTGAACCATTATATTATACAAAAATGGAAACTATAAAAACAAAATGTGAGCAACCCTTTTCTTTAAGTAGTTTTGTATGATAGCAAATATGTGTAAAAACTATACTAATGAATGTTTAATGTGCTTAATCTATATGTGTGCATAATATGAAAATAGTATAACATATTCAAAAAGAGTCAAAAATGTGTTTTACACATAAAACACAATTTCAGGTCGATACATAAGGTCTTGCATCGACACATACTTAGTCAAAAATGTGTTTTACACATAAAACATAATTTTAGGTCGATACATAAGGTCTTGCATCGACACATACTTAAGCAAAGAATCACAAAAACAATTCTACTTCAGTATGAGTCGACCCATTCATACTTTGCATCGATACATGTCAAGTTGATGCTCCTAGAAAATGTTTTAAAACCTTTATGCACCGACACATAAAATCATGCATCGATACATATCACGCTTTGTTTTCAAAATAAAAAATCAACTCAGTATGTATCGACTCATACCCGTTATGTATCGACTCACATAAAGACTTGCATCGACTCATACATATTTGATCTCTCTGTAATATATTTTTCCATCAGTATGTATCGATAAATAACAGATTGTATCGACTCATCTTATGTTTCACAACTAACATGAGTCGACTCATGTTAAACATGCATCGACTCATACTGCATTTTTTTCACCTATAACCGTTTTCTGTTACATATATAAGTAAGTTTTTGCAGCAAAAATAAGGGGTGTCACAAATACAGTTGGTGTGCATCAAATTTATGAGCATTAGAAACCTGAAAGATACTTCATCTTCATCATCTTCTCAATCATCTTGGTTCAACAACAACGAAAGATAAACATCTTTGTTCATTAGATCAAGAGATCATAGAGATAACGTTTAGTGGTACGATCAGTGATCTAAGATGAGTTAAAGATTCAGAAGGGGGTTTCGAGGAAAAACTAAAGAGTTTGTCCTTCAAGAATGAGCGTGTTCTTGCAAGTTTGTTAGTCACGATTGCACAAGTCAGATTCAACCGTAGTGAGGGGTTTGGAAATCGAGGTGATTTTGTAAACAGGTCGTGGAAGCAGAGGACTGATTATGGATCTTGCAGGGAATCTTGATAAGCTCATATCAACTAAAAGTTCTTACAAAAAGAAGAAGATCTTAGAGATTACGTTTTGTCTTTGTATTGTAACCTTGTAAACAACATTCAACAAATTGATATAACAAGTCTTAATTTCAGTTTAGGAATTGAGAGGGAGACATACCCACACGCGAGGACGACAGTGGGGAACTTCCTTACCAAACTGCCCATGTATTGTTTTTCTTTCTCTCTTTCTCTTTACGTTTTCTGTAAGTTTGTGATTCAACTGGTTTGCTGGTTTTTCTGTTTAATGATACAACAGTGGTACAAACTCTTTTGCTAAAACCACCATTATTGTTGATCATCGAACAAGCATACATCAATTGTTCGACAAAATTGGGTGCAAGTTTTTATTCATTGGAAATAGCGTTCTTGTGATAAGTGCATTGAAACATACATCAATATGTGTTTGATTTTCATCTATTTCATCTTAAATAAAATCCAACAAGTTTATCGTATGTCCGATTTTCTAGTAGTTTGGTTCAAAATAGACGAAAATTGATTCGGGACCGTGTTTTTCTGCTGTTTTTAATAAACTTTGATAAAAGATTTTAAATCCTTGATAAATAAGGAGGTGATCTATTCACCACCTCTCGATCACTTGCCACACCGTCTAACACAAAATGCTCCTAAAAATTTAAAAAAGACTAATACATGTAGCAAAGTACAATAAAAATGAATTATACATCATGAAATTGAGAAGTTTATTTCTCCATAGATATAACTGATTATAGGCTTGTTTGATCATATTTCCATGTGTATGTTCGTCCCAGTCGGTAAAGTCTGTATATTTCAAATATTGCACTGTAATGTAGGATATGTAGATCCACGTGTCAGGCAAAAGCTATGTATCTTCTTGACTGCACCGTAGCTGTCATGAAATTTTCTTTTCTAGAATAACATACCTACATCTTATGTTTAATAGTAGTAATAGCACGACACAAATGTGTTTAATAGCAGTAGTAGCACAACAATAACTTGTAAATACAACTACCATGAAAGTGTCATGCATAATTATCCAAAAATAACATAATA